GTTGTAGAGAATTTGATAAGCTTTCCAGAAAGTCCAGGATCACTGGATTTGGATTTGTAGAACTCCCGTTATGGGTGAAACAAGTAGCTGCTATTTTATGGTATAATCGATGCATTATGGTAAGATAATTAAATAACCGAGAAGAGATATGCACCTACTCAATAAACATGATGCACTTGTTAACATATATGCATTCGTAATACTTATGACATACTCATGCATCTAGGATCGGAGGAAGAGATCACGTTGTTGGAATTCGAAGAAGCAGAAGAAGGGAATCAGCAGGAGGATCCACAAGCCGTAGCTCCCGAAGGCATGGAGCAGACCCCTGAAGAGCTTTCGGAGTGTCCTGACCACCGCCCTACTTCCTTCCTACGAGGCAAGCCCCGGAGCATTATAAGTCTCCCAGTAATTTACAAATGTTTACTTAAGTACTTATGATTGCTGCATTAGGTTATAAGAGTTGAATGAAACCACTTGATGCATGTACATTCCTTGTCCAGATATTACACCTTTAACCGGTATAGGTCCAGGATCGAATATATGCTTAGCCATGCTTAGAAAGGTAGAAGTCGGGTGATTTCCTGTCACCTGCGAGATATAGGTGGATACCGGAGCACGGTTGGTTATAATTGCTATCGTGGAAAAGAACCATGGTTAATGTAAATGGAGACCGGGCGGGATGTCGATAGAGAAACAACAAGACATGGAGGTCTTGGGTGTGGATCTATCCCCGTCTGTGTCGATCAAGGACCGTCTGATTGTTGGAACTTCGACAAGATTGAACGCATGCCTCTCACTTAGCTGGTCGGATAATTCATTCCGACCGCGAAGCCAGTAATTCAACTCGGTAGCCGAATCGTTACATTGTGCGCTCCTTCCGGGAACGATCGACCGAGCCCAAAGGGCGGGTTTGGCTGAGCATCCTGGCATCTGGTGTTCCAGTTATGCGCGCGCAATCTCGGACCCATGAAATGTGTACCGGAGTTGTATCAAAGGTGACCTAAGGCTATCGTGGGTGGTAGACTGGGTTTGTGTTAGGAATAAATTCCCACCGGTTAAAATCGATTCGAATCGCCGTCTCTCCGGTTAGTGAGAAACTTGGCTAGCTCCAACATCGTAGTAATCGTATTATGGAACATGATGGTTCGGATGAAAATGGAATTACAATACCTTCTATGGTTACTATTGTATGTTTCTAAATGATATACCACATGTTTGTACAGGATAGTTGCTAATCTAGAAATGGATAGTTATAATTAACTTGGTAAAGGAATCATAATTGTACAACGGATCAATTGCCTTTTTTCGCAAAATGTTGTCAAGTTACGCTCACTTATACTGACCTTGCATAATCCTTGGAGTCATTTTATTTACGGTTCATGACGGGTAAGTCTAGTGAGTACCTTCTCGTACTCGTGGTTTATTTTTCCATTGTTGCGAGATGGCACTTGTATCATGGTTATTGCAAGAGTTGCTTCTATCCCATTGCGGATGAGGAGTAAGCCTTGGGCAGCTTCTTTAGTAATTCCTATCCTTGCTTTTGTGGACCGTGATCTAGCTTGGCACTTCAGATCAAACTATGTTGGAAACTTTATCTTGAACTTATTTGCTTCCGCTTTATTTATCAAACTCGGTTTGTAATAACTTTTATTCGTACTCTGATGATGAAAAGTATCTGTGAACTTTATGTAATATGTGGCATGTATGTTGAATCCTGTACGATCTTGGTTGTTGTAAATCATTTATCGAGACCCGTCGTGGTACTCGACGGACTACCGGGTTTATATGGGTTCAAGTATGACAGTGCGACCGCTTGCAGATTGCCATTGTACTTGTATTCTTATAAATTGGTCGGTTCTGCGACAAAGAAGCCTTCTGATTTCTGAACAGGTATATTTCGTCGCGTCGCTGGAGAGTGAAAAGCCGGTTTTATTGGAGACCACGGATTCATGGCAAAAATCGACAAGCCGGTGGGCTTTTGCCTTCAACCAGCAAACGTGCCCGTACTTTACAACAGGATCCAAAACGTGTTGAAATAAGATATCATGTTATTGTTGGACGTGAATAAGTTATAACATGAGTCCTAAGTTTGAGTCAAAAATTAAATTAACTTAATGGTAAAAATCTTTATTTCTTATAATAAGGAGTGAAAGATGAAAATGGTTGTGGTCTCTTATCTATAGTTTGTTTTTGACTTTTATTATATTTATTAGTATAGGGGACCGTGACATCTAAAATGAGGTGAATTGGGCAACTTAAAAATCTACTCTAAACTATAGCTTTTAATTCCACATTAACAAAACATATAAAAAAATAATCTATCTAAATGTGCAACTACGGTTTTGCTAATGCGTTGCTATCTCTACCGCAAAAAAGTCTTGCAACCTAGGTTCCAATCCTATCAACTAGCCTATCAATTAAGCTAGAAAAGTAAAGCACACAACCTAGGTAACAATATAAATACGGAAGGTAAAGATGAAGTAGAGATACAAACTCCTATCGAAGACTCTGGTATTTTTATCGAGGTATCGAGAAGCGCTCATGCTTCCCCTAGTCCTCGCTGGAGCCACTCGCAAGGGCCAAGCTCTCGGTCGGGTAACTCCGTGGATAGCCTCGGGCCTTCTCCACGCGCAGGTGGGTCTCCGGTGTGCCTTCCGGCAAACCTCTCCCGGACTGCTTCCTGCCGTCTTCACTATCAAGCTTTCGGCCGAAACGTCGCGGGCCTTGTTTCCTTCGATACACGGTGGCGCGCCACAGCACAGACGTGGTTGGTGTGGTCTCGCAAAACTACAAGCCCCGCCGAGTACAAACACAATGCGCGCAAGCACCTTGGGTTTAGAGGTATGCAAACCTTACTAGCAACTAGACCTAAGCCTAGAGCAAGCGCATATGAGCGTGGTCTAACTAACCTAAGCACTTCGCAAAGAACTAACCTAAAAACTTCGCAAAGTGCCTACGCTAATCACCGAGTAATCTTTAAGTTCTATGCATGTGGAGAGCACAGATGAGGTGTAGCAACACCCTCCTATCTTCCCTCAACTCCCTCAATCTTCAAATGGCCGGTTGGGACAAGTATTTATAGCCCCAAGTCAAAACTAGCCATTGTAGCTGAGATCCTCTTCTCTGCGTGGTCACCGGACAGGGCGGTGACCGCCATGTGGACTAGTCGTTGCTCACTAACAGGCCGACCGTTGGGGTACTATTCACCAGGGCGGTGCACCGTCACCCTGAGGGCGGTGACCAGGGCGGTGCCCAAGTCTCCCTTCGCTGTTCTCTGAAATTTTAGGGTGGTGGCGCCGCCACCACCTGTCCGGTGCACCGCCACCCCATGGCGGTGACCAGGGCAGTGCACGCGTTGCTGTCCGGTGCCCTCCTCTTCTTCTAGCTGCAGCAGCTCTCTGTTTGGTGGCACCGCCACCCCCTAGGGGTGCACCGCCATGCCTAGGGCGGTGACCAGGGCAGTGCCCCTCTTGCTATTTCTTCGCGTTTCTTCATCGGGGCTTTGCCATCTTCGCGTCTTGGACTCCTTTCTTCTCTCCTAAGCTATCAACACCTCCTCCAATGTCATCTCTTGAGTGTTAATCAATTTCTTCACGTTCCAAAGTTGGTCCAAGTCCGCGTTGCATCCTATTTTGACTATAAAATAGACACTAGCAAACACATTAGTCTAATTTGATTGTGTTGATCATCAAACATCAAAACCAAAGTAAATGAACCTAGGGTTCATTTTCCTTACAATTAGAACAAAAAAACCAGGTGGAGAAAACCACGAAAAACAATAAAAATAAATTCAGAAAAAGGCGAGCCAGTGTCAGAAACAACCATAAGAAGAAAAATCTGAACATACTTGAAGCCACTAGAAAACGGTCATAACCAAAATAGGAATGTACTGTAGAAAATAGCCATGGAAAAATCAGAACATATTCAAAGCCAAGTGAAAAACGTCCAATTGAGAACGTAAAGCAAAACATATTCGGAGCAAGTAAAAACAGACAAATCATAAAAATAGTGAAAAAAGAACAAAAAAAGGAATAAAACAGGAAAATTCTAACCTTTCTTCCTCTCTATTAGATTTATACAGATTACTCGGAATCGGAGATATCTAATCTACCATAAACCTTATTTTCGTATACCAAAGCTGGACCCTCACGTCTCCCGTCACTGTTGCACGCACTGTGCGCTCTGTCCATGCTCTTTTCTGGCCACCCGCTTCTGCAATCCATCAGCTGCCTTCCCGATCCTTCTGTCACCTCCACCACAGACCCCTCCTCCAGCCCAAATGCCGTCCTTGGACTGTCTTCGATGATATCCCACATGTACATCCATACTTAGGCTCCGTTTGGATTCCAAAATTTTTTTCGCAGTATCCGTCACATCGAATTTTACGATATAAGTATAGAGTACTAAATGTAGACGAAAAAAAAATTAATTGCACAGTTGGGTAAGAAATCGTGAGACGAAACTTTTGAACCTAATTAATCCATAATTAGACACTAATTGCCAAATACAAACGAAAGTGCTACCGTAACTAAAATCCAAAAAAATTGGATCTAAACAGGGCCTTAAAATAGATCTTAAATGGTACTGAATTAGTCTACAACAGAGTATCTATGTATGAGATCCATTTTAGATTACAGCAAAGACACAACCCAAATATAAATATATTCTCTTCTGAAGACTTATTTACAGAAAGGGTTTTTTTATTATATTATTAAAGAAGATAAAAATAAATACGAAACACTTTAACTATAGCGCTATCAAATATGAAATGAGTCTTGTATTTTAGATAATGTTGTTGGAGATAGCCTTATTATAAAAAAACGTCCTTATCCATGAAAAAACGGCCTCCTTCCCCTCCCCCGTCGCAACGCACGCAGCTGCGCCGCCCGGCAGCGCCGCCTTCTTCCTCCGCCCTCTCCGACTCCACTTCGTGACGCGCTCTGCCTCTCACGGCAAAGTGCGCTCCACACCTCCCTCTTCCCGGCTTTCACGTCCTAATGCTGTGCAGCGCCAGCACGGGAGCCCCAGCGCGGGCAAGCCCTAGCGGCTGGGCGCCGGCGGCCTCCCCAGCGCCGTTGCGGGACTCTCGGCCGGCGGCGCTACCCTCTGTGGTCTCCAACTCGCCGCCAACGGACATCTCGGTGAGTTCGCCTCGGCCTACTCCTTTTTCGCGCCAGTCCGGCTCACGCCTCTTCTCCTTAGTGTGGCCTAATACTACTGCAGGCCTTCCTCTTCAGCCTTCGACATCATAGAGAGTGGAAGCATCTGGGTGCCGACGACCACCGATTTAGCCCATTGAGTAGTAGTTCCAGGTACTTTCCCCTCTTCATTTTAGTGTTTTCCTGTGCCTCAGTCTGTACATTAGCAGAGTGTCGTTCATGGGTGCCAGGTTATTTTTGGATCCTTGGTTGCTTTACTGAATCATTGGTTGTTGTTGCAATTTTAGTTGACAACGGTCAATCATATTATGGACTGACGCAAAAAACAGTTCTGATGATTCAAGCCAAGGTTAGTTGCCACTTCCCGGTTAATAGAACATGCTTGCCTAGGGGCTTGTAAGATTGTTATTTGTGCAGCAAAATAAAGTGATGCGCTTTATTGCTCTTGCCTCCGGCTGCACCCTAGCAATGAGCACCATGATTGCTTTTTTCTTACGAAACTACATGTTTCCTCCACGGATTTGATTTCACATGATAAGCACTGATTGCATTTGTTATTATTACGCACTGATTGCATTTGTTCTTATTTTCCAGGCCATCATCTACCTACATTGAGGAGTTCCACATGGTCATGGCCATGCCAACAATTATTGATTGAGCAAACCCAACTTAAACAGGGTTTTTTTTGGCCAATATTGTTTCAGTTTGACGATTTCTTATTAACTGCCCCCATCATTTGTACAGTTTGCATGCCCTTATGTACCATTGATACTACCTTCAGATAACGGATGAAACCTTTTTTTAGGCAATTTCCACAAATTCTGATCATGATGTGTTGGAAGAGTTAGGATAATTCTTGCAAATTCTGATTTCTCAATTCCCAATTAGCCTTAATGTTGAGTCTGTTTACGCCTATAACTCTTGCTGCCTTATAGATTAGTGCAGAGCCTCCCCTGCATGTTCCGCCATATCAATAGAAATGCTATACAAGTCTACAACCCATTCTTTGAAAGCAGTCACGAAAAGGGCGTACCCAGTGCAGAGAGCTCCCGCTCTGTGCGGGGTCTGGGGAAGGGTGTTTGGTGGAAAGCCTTACCCTCGCCTGTGCAATGCGAGGAGACCGCGACTCGAACCCGGGACCTTCCGGTCACAGGCGGTAAGACTCTACCGCTTGCACCAGGCCCGCCCTTCGAAAGCAGTCATGAAAGATAGAAAGAATGTGAACCGCTTATAGATCGCATTTACTCATTACCTTTCCCTGTGTGCTTCCTCTCCTGAATGTTATTTTGTTGTCAATTCTTTTTTTTAACGTTTGCAGCTTACTACGTGTATTTGTGACATGGTATAACCTGACAGGACCATACGGCTCATGAAGCGACCTAAATATTCGAGTGTTTTTTTTTTTACTGCAATACAGAATCTTATCGATCCATCCATGTTTCTGCTTCCGTGCTCCAAAACATGGTCAGTGTACATCCAACCAAATATCAGTAAGCTTAGTGTGTAACTAATCTCATCAACATGAGGTTGAGGCATTACAATTATTAATTTTTCAGATAGCTAATCTTAAGAAACATGGTGTTCTATTGGGTGCATGATCAGAGCATGCTTGCTGAAAAAAAAAACAGATCAATCCCATTTCAGCTTAGAGGTTGGCTGTGACAAGGTAATAATCTTGGCATCGTTAATTTCATGGTTCGATGGCTTGCTAATCAGAATTTCAGCAGCCATAACATTATTATTTTTCTGTTGCTATAGAAATTTGGAAGATTCTGTTGCCTTAAAAAGCTACATTGATCTCTTCGTTGTCCTGTATGGTTCCGTAAGCTGTTGCCAAATGTTTCCTACCACAAACTGTGTACCTCTTCCAGTGCCATATTCAACTCCCTAATTTTTAGCAGCATATCTGGATTTTTATCCTCTGCCACAAAGTTCCTAACAAGCTCTATATCCTTCTCATGATCATTGTTTACCACATTTGCTTAATTATTGTCACTCCCGCCTACAGGAAATACATGACATTTTCGACCGCAGGGTTCAACTAGCAGTAACCAAACAACTTGGTATTTGTCGCTTTTCATGATGGATGCCATTTGGTAAGTAAATGATATTTTTTAGTCTTTAATTGGTTACATACTGTACCATTCCTCCTACTTCGATCTATGGCACACCTTCAATTTTTGATCCACACATTATTGCTCTTCATAATCCTATATCTATGCGCACATATGCATGCTTGATATGAAATTATAAGAAACGTACATGCACATATGTTTTTTTTATTATCATGGTCTTATATGTACCATTGTGGCAGGTAGGTGACGCACATTAGAGTTACGAATATTATTAACCTTTTTCTATCAAAGAACAAGAAGCGCAATTTAGACAGGAAGAGAACTGATAGGATTACGGATCCTACCGCGTAGATCACGGAGTCTGTAGGGGTGAGAGGGAGGTGGAGCAGGCTGGGAACCTCGCTGCCGGCGGCTGGACGCCGTGGTGGAGGATGGACAGCTGCTGCTGTAGCCCTAACCTTCACGCGGCTACAGTAGCGGCGGCACTGTTCACGCGTGAACAGTAGAGGCGGCTAGGGTTTCTCCCGGCTCCCTGAGGAAGCCGGAAACAATAATATGTTTCTGCTTAATCTCACAAATAGAGTCTTACAAATATTTATATGTCTCTCTAATAGCGATAATTATAAAATAACCCTCTACCAATACTATAATTGCGACAATTATATGGGCCATAGCCCTCTGATGGCCGGCTTCCCTCCTAGCCCTTAGCTGGGCTGCGACGGCTGTAGGGGATGCCGGTCATAACAAGAACCTTACTCTAATTACTGCTTAAGTAGTATTCCTATTTACACTACGGGGTTCTACCTACTCCCAAAGGGTAATTCATGATCAAATGGATTCAATCAGGACCAATTTCTTCTGCCAAAAATCATACGGCAAGATGAGACATGCTCCATAGACCAGAGGACCTAGGGGGAATAGGGATTATTAGTACCAGACTCATGAATGGGTGTTTCATCATAGAATGGATCTCCAAATTGGTTAAAGGAACCAAGGCCATTTGAGGCAAACAGCTTATATAACAAATAAAATCTATTTTCAGTCTACGGTGAAAGGGTCTTCTCAATTTTCGCAAGGCCTACATAAGATTAAACAGATGTTGGGATGACACTTGGTTGGGTCATACCCCTTTAAAGATTCAATTTCCAAACCTGTACTGTATCTGTTGTCACCCCTCTATTTTGGTTAATCAGGCTTATGGGGGTCCTGGGAGTCGAATTTTAGAAGGTGATTAATTGACAAAAAAAAGAACGGGAAAGCTTGATTAATCCTAGAAAATAATGTGCATGATGACGTTTCTTTGGTGTGTGAAAGCTATTCGTTCCTATGATGACATAAACTATATTGTATTTGATCAAGCTTTGAACCTTTAGCCCACCAAATTGTGCACCAAATTTAATGGATGACTGCAATTCTAATATTTAGACTGACTAATAATGATACAACACTCAACTTTGATACAATCCTTCTTTAACATGTTGCCACCTCATAGGCTGCAATTCCTTGCCTGCAAAAAGGTTGCTTCAGTTGCCATTGTACACTAAACGCTTTGCGTGAAAACATTCAGGTTTTCTAATTTTGTCCGATTTTCATTCCATCAGATGTTGTCCAATTTTCATTCTTTTTTGCTATCATTTGAAGAATGATGGCTTCTGTTACATTTCTGTGCAGGTGCGGCACATTTGATTTGCCCAGAAGTTGTCTAATTTTCATTACAAGAAACATATAGCTTTAAGCTTTTATGATCTTTTTATTTGGCACACAGACATGTAATGCAGCACATTTCTATCCTTAGCTCGCACCCGCACATTGCGCGGGGGGACTGCCTAGGACAACAAGTGTTTGTGACGATGCATCCTTATTTTGTAATGTACAGTTCTCCTTTTGCGTCTCACACCCTCCACTACGTGCAGAGCCTACTGACATCCTATTAAACTCCACTCTCTCATGACCACTCCATATCAACACATTTGAATCCACTTTCCTCCAATGATTCATATTATTATTGAATCATGACAACGACCACTCGCCCGCGGCAATGGGCGGGGAACTGACTAGTTGGATTAAGATTTTTAGCTGTCCATTTTCTTATATTTTTCTATTTAGATTAAGATTTCTATTCAGGGTACCTGGAATCGGAGAGATCTAATTGGATTATGATTCGTAGCTATCCAAATTATCTTAAGCAGTCTTGAACTGTTATACAAAAAGAAGGGCTATAGACGGTTTTTGGTTTTCGCATTCACAAAATTAGTTAAGGAGGGCTATAAATATAGATATAGAATTGATTGTAAGGGGTTTAGCTGCCGACCACTGTAGATCCTGTTCGTTTATTTATGTTTATAATCACTACAATTCTTGATTTTGCTAATTCGAGTTTGTAATACAGATCTTTGGTGGGATTCACGTCTTTTTGTTTTTATTATAAGTGCAAACAAACACGGCCATAGCACTATATTTTAATCTATCTTCTATATACACCTAAAAAACATGAACCTCTTTCGTCCAAGATCCCCCCTTCGTGTACGCGCCCGGCCTCTGGATTTACGTGGCTGGCTCGGCCTCGGATTCACCGAAGACGGATCAGACCGATCACAATTCAATTCATGCGGTGTGCCTCGGTGCCTCATTGCGGTCGTGCGGAAGACCGAACGGCGAAAGAGACAACCACATAACGTCAGGTGTGTTGCGTTTTTGGGCCAGCCGGCCAGGCTATTATTATAGCAGTTATAAAAATTATATAGTAGTGTGTGATAAAAAAAATATAGTAGTATACATCTTGTGTGTTGTGTTTTTGGGCCAGGCTATTATTAGCAATTATAAGAATTATACAGTAGTATACAGTAGCATGCCTAGAGAGGGGCCATTCGATTTTTGGGGCCTGGAACGACAAATCCCTTCCTGTGCGTGTCCAAACTCTGAGGTCTCCCAGTCTGACACGATATTAATGTCACTCCACGTTTTCAGATCTGTTTCAAGTTTTTTTTAGCTAAACAAGTTAAGGTGACGTTTGAGACTGTTCCACAAACTCCACCGTGAAACAACTACACAAAAAAAAAAAAACTAAAGTTTGTGGAGCATCTCTTTAGATGCTCTCACAACTCTATCTTTTTTCTCGGACAGAGTGCATGGAGCTGAAACCGTTTGGCTAAAAAACGTGGAGCAGGGCTAAAAAACGTGGAACGGAGCAGTCTCAAACACCCCCTAAGCTTCACGCACTCTGTTCGGGGAAAAAAATAGAATTGTAAGAGCAACTAAAGGGGTGTTTCGTAAACTATAGGTTTTTGTGGAGCTACTACACGGTTTAGTTTGTGGGCAAAGTTCGTGGAGTAATTCCAAACACAACATATATATCCGTTATTATACCAAATCAACCCAATACGAAACTATCCGATGATATCAAATCTCGATCACCGCTCACATGTCCATCCTATCTAATTTCAGTACAAAGACCGGACCCCACGCATCCGCGTCCAATACAAAATCCTCATAGCTTACACGTATGCGTCCAAATACTGAGGTTTAGTAAAAAAATCATGATCCCGATGCAGCGCACGGGTATATATCTAGTCCATAATATAATAATAACAGTAAAGAGGCAAAAATTTCCATCATTTTTTTGGTCCGATAGCTATTCTAAACGGGTTATGTATATCCATGTTTCTAACTATTGGACAATGGAGAATTTCTTCTATCCGAATTTATATATATAACTTGTTTAGAATAGCTCTTGTCTAGCGTGATACGAAATCTGACTGCAAAACGTATTGAATCGTATATGTGACCCGGGTTCATAAACCATGCTCCTATGTTCATCCTGATATATGGTTAATTAGTGTCAGCGAGTTCAAATAAGAGTGCGTCTGTGGTGCTATTTTAGTCATTGAGACCATGTAGGAATCCTAATCCAAGATTTCTCTTATCTTTAATAGTCTAAATAGGAATCCAAATCCAAACACAAATAGGAAAAGACATTGAGAGAAATTATTATTATTATACTCTAATATTAAACCACAGAAATTTGTTCCTAATATTAAACCACGGTAGTTTTTATTTCTTTTTTTCGTTTTTTATTCTATGGTCGTTTTTTATCGGGGTACACGATTCCAACTCTGTGTTTCCTCTGATGCATTTTCTATTTGCTCTGTTTCCTATTTTCCATGTCCACTTTTGGTTTTTTCCTTTTTTTCTGTGTCTGTTTTTTCCGTGTTCGATGGAGTTTCTAGTTGCTCCGTTTCTGTTTTGCATGCGACCATGTACGCTCCCGATTTTCTTTTCCTTTTTCTGTGTCCGATGCGGTTTCCCATTTGTTGGTTATTATCTTTTGGTTACGCACGTCCTCTCTTCTGGTTTTTTGTTTTTTTTTCTGAATAACAAATAATAAATATAATATTATGAGCCATTTGAGCTATTGATTCTTTTTCTAAAAAACAGAAATTACTACAACTAAATTATTAATGTAGTTTTGATTAGAAACAAAATTTATTTTTATTAAAATTTGGATCAGCTGATTAATTAAATGATAAACTGAAATCTTGAGTACATTTGTCTGCGGTGCTATTTTAGTTCAGATATGTCTGCTGCTTTCCTTTTTGATCTGTGAGTCTACTTAGGAGTTTGTTGCTATTTTCTTTTCATATTTTATTTTGCCTGCAAGTCAAAGTCAACTCTTAGACTTCTTATTAAGTTGGCTACTTCCGTAATTCTACACACCCATCGTTCCTTCTTCAGGAAAATATAACGTGGACAAAAAAGGACACAAAGAAAAGGGAAATTGATAGTGAAAAAAAAACATATGTGGAAAAAAAAACAAATGAAAGAAAAAAAATGGGATGGACACGGTACCAGGACTCCCATGGACGGAAAACCAACCTGTTTACTGTGTATTTAGACATAATGAGTATGTAGAAGCGTAGTAACAGCTATGTATCAAAAAGTCCAAACAACTTAAGATTTGAAACAATGGGAGTACTTTAATTCGTTAGACTTAACGGGACATTGTCATATTATTAACAATATTAACTTTATTGTGGATGTCATGATCATAACAAAATAAATTATAGCCATTAAAATTATGAAAAAGGTAAAATATAAATAGATATATAACATTTTTGTCCTTATGTTCTATTAAGGTCTGATAGTTTTTTCTTGTCCCGTTGTAACGTAAGGGCATATTTGCTAGTAGTATCTATTCCTCACAATTTTATAGAGTCATTAATTCAGAGGCCGTACCCTTCATCATATATCCCATGATCCCGCCGCGAGTGCATCGTGTTTCTTTGGCTGATCTGTACTAACTATACGTCTATACTAAGAACAAATCACTGGCCTGTGATGAACTGATGATCTAGCTAAAAGAAGAGTTGTTGTGTGCAGTTGCTCGGTTAGTTTTTTGGACAAATTTAACAAAACGCATGCAAATGCATAGTTCTTTTTTAAACTGCAAATGCATAGATTTTTTTTTAAACTGCAAATGCATAGTTTTGACAAGCTTGAAACCGTGTCTAAACTTTGTTTAGCAGCAAACGCCGTGCACGGGTGAATATGTTCACTTCAGTGGCCTCATGGACCATATGAGAAAATTAAGGAACGCTATATATATATATTTTGGTTCTAAAATAACACATGAGAAGGACTGCCCACGCACGTGCTAACACAAAGAGCAAAAAGTCTCGCGGACCTCTTTCTAGTTCGGAGCAGGCCGGCAACACGCTGGATCGTCCCGATCCGTGTTCCCCACTAATGGAATCAACGGCCCGCAAGGAAAACGGCCCAACCAGCCGCAGCCCAGGATTCTGGATTCGGCGGCAGAGCGGAGACGGGCACGGGCATTCCTCCGCTCCGCTCCCATCCCACGTTTAGTAGCACCTCGCCAGCGGAAGGCAGACGCGCCGCGAGCTCCCGCTATAAGATGAGCGCCCCGTGCCCCGTTGCTCCATACTTACCTGGACGGGGCCGACGGGCGATCACGAAGGTCCGTGGCCTGGGTCAGTGGTCCTCATTGCACTTTTGGAGGTTGCGCTGGCTTACCATCTCCCCAAGCGGGAGAGCGGACGTCATAATTTGTGGTAGAGGGGGTACGCGTTCGCGCGGCCGCTGCCAAATCAAAGAAATTTTTGAAATATAATTTTAAAACAAACAAAAGTTGTTTTTAAATTATACTGTTGAGAAATTAAATCCTGAAATCAAATTCTTTTGAAGTTATTTGAATTTAAAGTTTAAATGTTTCCTAAGAGATAATTCACTGCAGTAAGAAATTAAATCTTGAAACCATGTCCAAATTGACTTCTTATGAAGTTGTTCACACTCCTGTGTCGAATTTAAAATTTCAATATTGCATAGGAGTACTGTAAGTGATGGTAAAGTTAATGACGTCGCGTTATTATTTGATTATATTATATACACGTCCAAATCCACGGGGAGGAAGCTGGACCCAGCAATGGCGACCCTTGGAGGCCTGTTCCCCTCTTCAGTCGCCGCATCCACCGCCATTCGCGCCCCCGCCCCCGCCGCGCCGACCGGCACCAGCAACCGCCAACCCCCGCACGCCCGCCGCCTCCCGGTCCTCGGACGCCGCGCGCCGGCGATGGCCGCCCTCCGCGTGTCGGGGGCCGCCGAGCCCCTCCTGCGCCCGGCCGCCGGGGGACACCCCAGGCTCCGCGTACGCCGCCCGACCGATCCTACCCGTCCCGCCGCGGCTAAACATAGCCCTTGCCCGCCCCTGCTATTCTGGGGAGGGAGGCGGCGGCTCTCGATGGTGGTGAAAGGTCTGACGGGATGGAGGATGTGCAGGTGCGGACCCATGCGCAGGGCGAGGGCGGCGCCGGGCGTGGCGCCTCGACGGAGGGGGACGCTGCCTTCTCGTGGGCACCCGTCATCCTCCCGTAAGATATTTTCTCCGCCACCCTCTCCGATTGTAGCGTTTGGGGGATTGTCTGGAGCGCGCACGCGCTGGGTGTTGAGTTAGGATGCGTTTCTACTCCGATTGAACCCTCCACGCCGTCTGATTGCACGTACTATGTTGTGGAATTAGGTAATCGGTGCACTGTGAAATTGTATGTGCAATGCTGTGGAATTAGGCAACCAATGCACTGTGAGAATTGTATGCACAATGTTGTGGAATTAGGCAACCGATGCGCTGTGAATTGCTTGTTGAGTAGATAACTTGTTCAGGGTATTGATGAGGACTTGGCTTCATAAATCATAGTGGAATTGACCTGCTGTACTGTACTGCATCTCAGCAAATATGCTAGCATTTTCAAACTGTGATCCTTCCATTTCAAGCAGTCATAGAATGCATGATGATATAATTTAGGATCTGTCTAATATTTTTGTAAAGTGTGAAGGAATTTGTTAATTTGGAGTTTTGCTTCAGTGATACTTGTCATAGCATTGCTGCTTCGTGTAGACATTGGAAAATAAACAAATAAAAAGGGGGTAATTGGGAAGCCTATCGAGCTTGCAACCTCTCAATACTGATGATCACTGTTTGGAACCTAGGTTCTTCTTCCCTGCGTTGGGCGGTCTCCTTTTCGGCTATGACATTGGCGCAACCTCTGGAGCGACCATCTCTGTGCAAGTTAGTCCATGATTTGGTTGTTTTTTTTTTGTGAGTTTTTTCTAGTCGGCATACAGTCTCACTGCCACTGGTGTATTCCTCGTCAGTCTCCTGATCTCAGTGGCACCGATTGGTTCAGCTTGTCATCTTTGCAACTAGGGCTTGTGGTAATCCAAATTTCTAATTTACCTAGGCTTTCACTTCTCCTTTCACATATCAGTTATCAAGATGAAAATGAGCTTCCTTTCTTTTTTTATTCAGGCCAGCAGTTCACTTTATGGTGCTCTTGGTGGATCTCTTCTTGCATACCGCATTGCAGATTTTCTAGGTGAATTAAAAAGCTACACCTTTTTTAATTGTCCTTATCATTTGTTTGATAAGGATGTGAACAACTATCATCTTGATGCAGGAAGGAGAATAGAATTGGTCACCGCAGCTGCATTATATATTCTTGGTGCTTTAGTCACTGGATTTGCCCCTAATTTTGTAGCGCTAATCATAGGTCGTGTCTTGTATGGGATTGGTATTGGTTTGGTGAGTATCTGCAGGTACACAGATGTTTTTTTATTTCCTTTTTCTAGAATGGTCCCAGGTAATTGTTATTAAACGAACCTAATTTAGGAATGCATATAGGAAATGATTTTCTGGGGACAATTAGCTATACATTCACTCAAGCTGAGGAACACAACATTCACTGATATAAACTTATAACACCGCGATGTCTGATTGTAGTTCTCTGATACGTAGTCATTTGCTGAAGTGTGTAACAGCAAAACTAATTGGCTGATGTAGCTTTATGGTCATGTTCTGATATAACTAATTATAGAATAAGTAGATATAAACATGCTTGCACTTGATTTTTCTGATATTCCGATGATGGGTTAAACAAACATATTGATGTTGGTTTGAAATATATTGTTTGCTGAGGTATTTAATATAACTTTCTGCTTTAATTTCTGAGGTAGTTGGCACAAGGTTGTTTTGCATGTAGCACTTTACAGTGGCATGTTTTCCACCAACTTTTAACATCCACTAGCATCCAATTTGTCCAATGCTCCATGCTTTGTTAAAAAGGGATTGATATGTCTCGATGAAACATGGGCCTCACCTGTGTCACTGATAGTGGCAAATAAGGGATTATGCAAATTGCAATTGTAGGAAAAGGATTTATCCTAGTAACAATTGAAGAGGAATAGAATCCTAGTAACAATTGAAGAGGAATACAATTGCAAAGGAGCAGTGCATATTCAGCTAGGGGTTTGGGAGAGTTGGTGTTATGCCACTGAACCATTACGGTGCTCTGTCCCAGGCAATGCATGGTGCCCCTCTTTATATTGCGGAGACTTCTCCTTCACAAATACGTGGAACATTGATATCTTTGAAGGAGCTGTTTATTGTGTTAGGAATACTGGTAATTACCAAATCTCTCATGTGTTCTAACTTCATATACCCATCTCATGCTTGCTGACCATTAAATAATTTTGTGCAGTTAGGATACTCTGTAGGAAGTCTTGAAATTGACAATGTAGGAGGATGGCGGTACATGTTTGGTTTTAGTGCTCCGCTTGCAGCTATTATGGCTATTGGTATGTGGACTTTACCATCTTCACCAAGATGGCTACTTCTCAGGGCAGTTCAAGGAAAGGCTTCTATGGAGGATAATAAAAAGAAGGCAATTCAAGCCCTTAGAACATTGAGGGGCCGCTCAACAAGTGAAAAGGTTTTGACAGATGATGTTGAAGATACAATTGTCTCTATTAAGGCTGCCTACGCAGGACAGGAAGCCGAAGGAAACGTTTGGGAGGTATTTGAGGGAGCTAGCTTGAAGGCCTTCACTATTGGCGGAGGTCTGGTTCTGTTTCAGCAGGTATTTTGTTCTCCTTAACCCATGTATATGCATCTACCTCTTGAAATACGAATGCCTGTTCTTTTTGAGTGGCAGTATGGACATGCTGGATTGGTATTATCGAGCTAACTCTTATTTGGCAGATAACAGGTCAACCAAGTGTTCTATATTATGCAGCTTCAATACTTCAGGTACCAATATTTTGCTCTGAATTTTTTGGTGGTATAGTTTTTGTACAGAAAGGAGAAGTAGGATATTGTTATCTGCCCTTTGCATTTCTTGAATTCACACAATTCAACATCTCCATCGCTAAAGTATGCCATATGTAGACTGCTGGGTTCTCAGCTGCATCAGATGCTGCCAAAGTAGCAATTTTGATTGGGTTGTTCAAGGTAATGCAAAGGATCTACATCAGTACTAATACAATAGCTACTTCTGTATCAAAATGTGTATGCAGAAATCTATGTTATGTTTCCTTCAATTTTGAGTGTGTAACAAATCTATTCTTCTCAGTTGCTAATGACAGGCGTTGCGGTATTCAAAGTCGACGATGTTGGAAGGCGCCCATTATTGATAGGAGGTGTTGGTGGAATTGTGAGTTTTTATTCCTTCCTTCTACTTTTGATTAAGCTCTACATATTACGTGGAAAGCGGCGCATACACATACTCAAATTTAGTCTGCAATCCCACTTAACATGAACACTAAACAATACTGGTGTTTTAGGCACTGTATTGATCTAGATTAGAATGAGATACCTGGTTAACTTATTACTAACTTTATGCATGTTCTATCAGGCTTGTATTCCTACGTTCTGATTAAATTAACCTGATTTTTTCTTTAACATGTAAATGCAGGCTTTGTCACTCTTCCTACTGGCAGCTTACTACAAAATTCTGAACGGCTTCCCCTTCGTTGCTGTTGGCGCATTACTTCTTTATGTCGGTGCTTACCAGGTCAGGGCTTCAGTTCTGTACAAGAAGCCTGACAATCAGAACAATTTGTTTCTTCAGGAATCCACAAGCTTATTATTTGCCTTTGTATTTCAGGTCTCATTTGGTCCAATTAGTTGGCTAATGGTGTCTGAAATCTTTCCACTCCGAACAAGAGGGCGTGGAATCAGCCTTGCAGTACTAACAAATTTCGGCTCAAACGCTTTGGTGACATTTGCATTTTCACCCTTGAAGGTATTGCTTCTCATAGTTGCTACCTCATGTTCAATTTCATGATGTTTAGTTCCTAAAAGTGGAGACCCCAAAATAGTAAATTACATTAAAAAAAAAACGTGCCAATATCCAGTAGTTGTGCCCAACGAATGCTTCTCCACTAAATAGTCATTTTTATCCTTCGTCATAGAGAAAACTCTTGTACATCTTGTATGGTCAAAATTCAGCCTCTTGTTAGGTCGAAACTCTAGAATAGTTTATTGTGGCTATCTATTCAAAGTAATGATATCAAACCTTTCTTTTTATTTTGCACAAATATGGAAACAAACTATACTGTTGCGGATTTGTCGACAATGAATACTTCTCTGTGTACCACAGGAGTTCCTTGGGCCAGCCAATATATTTTTCCTGTTTGGCGTCATAGCAGTGCTCTCCCTGGTGTTTGTGATCCTCGTTGTTCCCGAGACCAAAGGACTGAGCCTGGAGGAGATCGAGTCTAAGATCCTGAAGTAAAATCGTGTGATCATGGCTCTACAGCCCCAGTTGGAGATCTGAAATATCAATGCCATTTTCAAAATCGATGCTCACTCGTAGGATCAGAGTCTGTCCAAGTTCCAGAACTTGAGTACATATGCATGACACGTCTCGGTGTAAAGCTTGGACATCTTTCTCCTAGTGTAGTTAATATTTCTGAACATGCTTAGTATATCTGTAGCTGAGTCATAATCACGTCCCTGTAGTACATTGTTACCTCGTCCGCGGTTGCTGCCTGTAAATAATCTTGGCGTTCTTGTGTCTATCTATGCTGTAATCTGCATGTCACTAGTAAAAGCTGGTCAGCTGCCGTGTTCTGCAGAAGTTGCATGTTTACGCCTCGCCTGTGTGCTGGTGTAAAATTGTGCTCATATGAGAGTGCCGTGTTTTGCGAGTTTTCCCTGTTTTTGTCATGTGTTTCTTTGATCTTTTTAATACAATAAAAAAAGGAAGGCATGAGCTCGTCCATTCTTTTTTTTTCCAACAGAGAGAATATGCACAATTCCTGATGGTGAAACGCCTTATGTTCTGCAAGTACTGTGGCAATGGAGAACAACAACAAAATTGCTATCACCACTTCACAGATGGATGCATCTGCACCTAGACTTTGTTTAGCATCAACATCACTGGACTATACATATAGTATCAAAATCAAGCAGCTCATCAAACAGCAACGTGAAAGGCAATGGAAGTCTGAACACCACATTTAATACCTGCTTATTATTTAGCATTGGTTAAGCTCGTTCATGAGACAGCGTTATAAGTAGTTTATTTGGCTTATCCTGACGCATCTGGCCCGTATTGCGTCCTGGTGGGGAACGGGATCGTGCATTGGATAATTGGATAATACTCTTCTCATTCATCCAAGTACACCTACATATGAACGGAAACAACCCAGACCAATAACAATGATCCAGATCCGCAAACGGACATTTATTTATATGCAAATGCAGATAAAATTTTTAATACTAAGGGTGCGTTTGGTAGGGCTCTAGATTCTTGTAGAAACGTTTCAGATTTGGATTCTCTGTAGAAACGTTTCAGGTGATGAATCATGAATCGGAATCACTCTGTGAATCCGTTTTAGACTAGACACCCATTCTTAAGAGAAGGGAGGCCCAGAAACGAAACTGAATCTGGTGAAACCAGCCTCTGGCCAATTCGTGTTTCCAAAGCAAGAAACCAAAAATGTTTCTACGCTGAAACATTTCCTCCTTTTATCATTTGGAAGTGATTCTTTGGTTCTAGGTAAGAATCCGGAACAATTCAGCTTACCGAACACACCTCAAATACTATTCCTTTCATTCCGAGCTATAATACATTTTGGCCTTTTAGATACGTAGATTCTGCAATTAATGTACTTAGATGTATAACATGTCTAAATATATAATAATAGTAATGTATTTAGGAAAAGTCAAATCATCTTATAATTTGGAATGGAGTATTTTTTTAAATAGCTATGTACACGTTAACTACTGTCATCGTCTAAGCAAATATGTTAGTGCTACATATTTCCGTAGATATATATAATTTGACAGATACTGACATAAATCGTGGATATGTGAGGACCTATGAAAAAGTGTCCATATTACTAAGCTGAGCTTTCGTGTCACGTACCAATTAAATTAGCTTCTTGCACAGTACAATATATAGTTGTTGTTTTTTCTAGTTTTGTTCTGTTAGGTTGTTGCTTACAAAACACGTGAGAACACCCAATATTCCAATGCTAATTATGGACAGATTGGCACAGAACTCGCCAAAGGATTAGTAAATATAAAAGCAAGGACAAGGAACAAAGAAAAAAAAATACGAACAAGCTAATACGATACGCCCCCACATCGATCCACATGCACGTACGTACTGCTACGATGAAGACGACGATGTAATGTACCTGCCCGGGAACATGGATTCGTACGTGAGAGTGAGTGAGAGAGAGAGAGAGAGAGAGAGAGAGAGTCAGCGAGAGAGAGATTCTTCCAATCATCTTTCGTTCAGTTGCTATTCAGCAGAACCGGTAGCTAGTGAGAGTGATTTTTTTACTCCCCCAACAACGAACGAGCTGAGCGAGGGGACATGGTGAAAATTTTGCATTTTAGCCCTTTCAAAAAACAATTTCTTAAAATAGACTCCTCTCAAAACTTCTTTCAAAAATAGACCAAAAGCTCAGCGTTAAATAATAAAACGCCAAGATCTTCGAATCAGCGTCATGTCAGCTTACGCCGAAACCTGCCACGTCAACGCCAACGTGGCGTGTCACCACCGGAGCTCGGCGTGCTGTCATCCAACGCCATCCTTCATACATTGGCGTTAAGTAGTATCACGCCGAGATCTAAACATCGATTTGCTTCCTGGTGACGTGCTACTTGCGGGCGGAGAGTTCGGCGATCTGCGCCGTTTATACAGGGAGCAGGCAAAACAGGTCATGTATTCAAATAATATACTATACCTAATCGGCCAGGAGATACGTACTGGACGTGAGTGATCTCTTGATTTCTCATTACCTGCTTCTCTATGGACGTTTCGTTAAGGTACATACCCAATTTTTTTTAGTACTCCATTCACACTAACACCCTATTCGCTTGGAGAAATTTAGATGAATTTATGAGAATGTAAACAGTGTTTTCAATCAGCTACAGTGAATTCCAGAGGAATTTTGCACCAGCCGAACGCCCCCTAACTTGTCAAAAGAAATGTTGCGCACATTTTTAAACATTTCTTGAAGATTAAAATAAGTTAGATATATGCGGCCTGTTGGCTTGCTCGTATATAAACCATGACTTATCAGTCAACGAACAATATTTTTCTCTCACACCAAACCAGCCAACAGTACTTTCAGTCATGGCTTATAAGCCAAACCAGCCCAAACGAATAGGGCGATGATTCGAGTAGTTCTCTCGATGAGAACAAGGACACCAGTACAATGTATATTCGATTCTGAGATATCTACACTTATTTATTTGTTAATAAAGATGTAAAATCTCTCTTTATCCATTGTTTTGTCCACCCCCTCTTAAGTAAGTGGACAACGAGAGTTTTTTCCGCCTCAACTTTTTTACTTTTCAAACTTTTAACTCTCCTCCCCGATGCCGGAAATGCTTCCATTCTGAGCACCGAGCGGCTGCCTGCGTTCCCAAATGAAGTGCTACCCACAATAAACTGATTTTTAATCCTTCTTTAATCAATATTTTAATAATAATAGCTAAAAAAAGATTAATCAAATGTAGCCTCTTTGATCGCGCCCGCATGACTGGCGCGACAACCCCACACTGTCGCGCCCTGTGGCGAAGACCGCTGACTAGATCCTGCGCGGCGCATGCTAGGGCCTACCCTGTCGCGCCACCGACTTTGGCGTGACAGAGCTGTCGCGCCATGCGGGCTGGCGCGACAAGCTGACTTAGGGTTGGCCGGCCCGGCTCAGTTTTCTTTTCTCTCTCTCTCCACCTTCTCATTTGCATGAATTAGGTTTAGGATATACTCTTTCCGTGGATTGGACGTAAACTACGGGTTGCATGGACCTAGGTAGTTGTTAAATGATGGATTTGGATAGGTTAGTTTGTTTCGTTTGTTGTACTAGGGATTGCACATGATTTGGTTTGGAAACGTGGAGGTAGCCAGAAACACCAACACACCTTTGTAAGGACTGCATTTTCGCAAAGCAAGTTTGGTCCATCCTAAAACAATGGCTCGGATTATCGTTGATTGGTACGGTGGCAATGGCGGGATCTCTTCACAGTTACTAGTGCAAAGTGTTGGTTAAGGTTTGATAAAGACCAAAGAAGGGCGTTCAATAGTATTATGATCTACTTTTGATGGAACGTTTGGAAAAAGCAAAATAGAAGAACTTTTCAGAACAAGACTTTGCAGCCTTGTTAGATGGCGCTGTTGTGCAAAGAAGATTTAGAACAATACCAGTTGTGCAAAGAACAACGTTATTAAGTCGCACTCTGCGTATCTCATATGTGACTTGGACTAACGAGTCATGCTCATATGAGTTAAAACAAAAATAGATATAGAAATATGACTAGCAAACGTGGTCGTGCGTTGCAACGGAAATAAACATGCTACATAACTATTTAACCTTGTATATTAAATTAAAATACAGTCTTGATAGATTTTTTTCTTGCATTGCTAAGCACTACAGTCTTGATAGATCAAATATTTAACTTATTTTAATCTTCTAAAAGTATTTTAAAAATGTGCACAATATTTCTTTTAGCAAGTTAGTTAGCTTGCATGGAATAACTCAACAAATTTTTTTTGAGACGAGAATAACTCAACAAATTTGGGTATATACCGGAAGGAAGCGTCCAGAGAGAAGAAGCTAACGGGAAATCGAGAGATAGGTCCGGTATGTATCTCTTTGCCGATTAGATATTTGAAAACGTGGCCTGTTTTGCTGCAAGTAGCAAGTCACCAGGAAGCAAGGCGGCGGCGTTTAGATCTCGGCGTGATACTACTTAACGCCGATGTATGAAGGATGGCGTTGGATGACTGCACGCCGAGGTCCGGAGGTGACACGCCACGTTGGCATTGACGTAGCAGGTTTTGGCGTAACCTGACATGACGCCGATTCAAATATCTCGGCATTTTATTATTTAATGCCGAGGTTTGGTGTATTTTTAGAAAAAGTTTTAGATGAGTCTATTTTAAGAGATTGTTTTTTGAAAGGGCTAAAATGCAGAATTTTCACAGGGGACATGCATGTCGTGCCGACTCGAATGCCTCTGTAATGGCAGTTGGCAGCAGCAGCAGCAACAAGACCGGTGACCACCGCGTGAGAGTGAGACCGATCGACGCAGGGATGGATTGGTCGTTAAAATATTGCCACGGTGGTCGTGGTCATGGCAGGGGCCGGTCTCGCGTACAGTACATAGTACGTATATACGTGTTTCTGTGCAGGCCCAGCGACGCCCGTACAGTACATAATCTCTGCCCCTGTAATACACCACTTCAAATTATCCTATAGCCACCAAATAAAT